AGATCCTGCTGCCGGACCAGAGCGGCAAGTCCACTTTCCTCGAACAGATGCGCATCATCCACGGCCACGAGTTTGACCAGAAGGGCTGCTCCAGTTCCGTGACACCATCTCTGACAACATCAAGGTCCTCGCTGACGCGAGCGGTCAAGCTGGGCATCCCGTGGCAGCACTCGGAGAACAAGGCCACCTGCCGGGCTGTACGTGCGGCCCTGCGCGCCCTCTGGGGGCACTCGGGCATCCGGGGGGCCGACAGCCGCAGGAGCGTGTTCCAGCTGGGTGCGTCGGGGAAGTACTTCCCGGACAACTCTTCCCCCACTTCACCGCACCATCTACAGGGAGACACCCGCTCCGTGTACCACGCCGTCAGGGATACGAATATCATGTTGCAGTGAGGGCGCGCCTGGCCCCGCCCTCCTGGGGAGGGGGCGCCAGAAGCGTGCGCGTGCGTGCGTGCATGCGTGCGCGTGCTCTTGTACATGCCTGCAGCGAGCTGCAGAACCCTGGGAGGGTATACTACTGAGACTCCGGCGCGGCGGCGGCAGCTGGTGTGACTCCAACAGTTTTCCACAGAAACGCCATTGCCTTCCTACAGCGTCACCTAGCGGTGTGTCCAGGTGTGTGAACGTGTGCATGTGCGAGCGCGTTCTCTAACCGCCTGCCCGGCTCTCCCTCCAGCGGTTCTCAACCTTCTGGCCCTTTCAATACAGTTCCTCATGTTGTGACCCAACCATAAAATTATTTTCGTTGCTACTTTATAACTGTAATGTTGCTACTGTTATGAAACGTCATGTAAATATCTGATATGCAGGATGGTCTTAGGCGACCCCTGTGAAAGGGTCGTTCGACTGCCAAAGGCGTCGGGACCCACAGGTTGAGAACCGCTGCTACCTGCAGGTCTGCCCTGCCACGAACCCAGAGCCTGGAGTGTGTAGGTGGCCCAGTGCGCAGGCGCAGACAAGGGCCGCCCCGGGTCGCATGGACAGGGCATATCCCTTCGGCTCATTACTCCCGACCCTGCCCTGCCCTGCCATTGCATCCCCCTCCCCGCTTCCCCTCTCTCCCCGCAAAGACACACCCACCGCCTTGCAGGTGCTGCTGTGGCGCCTGGGCTTCCCGTGGGCGGGCTTCTGGGAGCTGCCGGGTTATCACAGCCCGTGTCCAGCACGGCGGCCTGTGCGCCGCAGACACTGACCTTCAGGAAGCCCCGACCCCGCACCAACCTGGGTCCTGCAGGCCGCCACCACCCCAGTGCCGCTTACAGCCACTGCCCCTCCTCAGGCCGCCCTCCGTCAGGGTCCTACCCAGGTCTCTGCCTCTGCAGTTCCACCCAACACTGTACTCCCAGCTCGGTGTGTGGGCGCTGCGGGAGGGACAGCTGCCCGCGGGCCCA